GGTTTATTCGGTACCTCAGAGGTGCCACTTGACTCTGCCAATCAGGGCCAACCCAAGCTCAGTAGAATGTGGCGTCCCAGGGTCCCAGTAGAAAGTTGGAGTCACCGTAGGTTACTCTGTCGAATAAATTTCCTCGCTTAAGGGTCAAAGTCACTTCTGTTGTATCGTTAATAAATTAATGTAACCTTTAGTTTTCGATTTCGTTTTCTACCTCTTCTAAATTGTTGAAGAAAGCTGTTTATTTCCTGGTGTGTATTTATTTACTTGAATTACTTGAATATAGAACTGGGGTCCTAGGAGAACAGGTTGCCCCATGCTTCCTCGCCCCTCTTCACGAGGGTCCATTTCAATGTGTGCAGGCTGATTGTCTCCATCATGATGTGTATTTGTCTTTGGTTAGTACCAGATGATAGTACTGTGAAGTCGGCTTAATAAACCGAGATCTGCGGGGCCGCCGGATTTTCTTTGGTTTAGTTGGGTTTTCGGTTTCAAAGAGATTGCTCAAAAGGAAGAAAATAAATCGGGGAATTCATTTTCTGTTGGTTTACCACTGTTTTCGTATTGAATCTGTTCGGTTTAAGCGGACTCCTTTGCATTATCAAGCTCTTAATAGATACGAATGACTAAATTTATATTTCAAGGGTAAGCTCTGGCCTGGAACAAGGATAGCGTCGTAAATTTTTAGATAATCAAGTTCTTTTTTTAAAATCAGTTTTAGTAGAGGTTTGACGGCGCTCGCAACTGCATAAGGTCATATGAGCGTAATGGAGATTAGAGGTGTTACAAGAGAGTAACAAACATAAAAAAGGGAGAAGGGGAGATAAGGACGATAGCTGTTTGATAGGAAAGAAGAAGCAAACCACACCAGAGCACCCGCCAACCACCCACATGTTCTTTTTTGATAATATGACTTTGCGGAAGAACAATTCTTTTCTTGGATATAGAGACACGTCATCTTGAAGATGAGATTTCTGGTCTCCGGGCAAAACGCGTGGCTTCAAGGAAATATTCGAATGAGACACACACAAAAACTATGTCAAACCTGACTCAGACAAGTGCCATCTTCAACTTCAACGTCTTATCTATTTATTGATTTTTAAATTTTTAAAATTAATTAATTTATTATACATTTATCCATTTTTTTTAGATTATAATTTTTTTTCTTTTGGGAGGGGGTGGGGGTAATTTTTCAAAATGTATTTAATGTTGTTTTGTACAGAGAGAAAAGGTACTCCACAATGACCGGCACGAGTATTTATCCTAGGCGCATATTGGGTTCTTTCTATTTCGTAGAGCGTTATTATAATGCTCAAGCTGCGTTATAATAGAACGTTGTTCCGGGGAAGAACAATAATCTATAAATATATTATATTTGTAAATGTTCGTCACTTTGGTCGCCTAAAACTTCCGAACCACTTAACTTTCGAATTCGAAAAATTAACGGTGGTTCAGAATCATTTAAATGGTGCACAGTTATTCAAGTATTTAGGAGTCTGAAGTCACTGTAGTTTGATTTTCAGTTTTTCATTAGTTTCGTTTAGATCTAATCTTGGGAAAGTGCGTCTTTTAAGACGCCATTGTAAACACTCAGTAAACAGGCTTCCGTTCACAAGCAGTGTGCACTGGTTCCACTGTGACTTGACGATCGATTCTTTTAAGTCCGTTCATCGAACGGGGACCCAGCTAGTATATTAGTATGTTTGTGTCTATGTGTGTATTAATTTGTATTCATGTGTGTGAGAGGGGAGGGGGTGCGTGTGTGTGGGGGGTGTATGTGTGTGTGTGTGTGTGTGTGTGTGTGTGTGTGTGTGTGTGTGTGTGTGTGTGTGTAGGTGTGTGTGTGTGATGAGTACTCCGTGTCTCCGTCCATCTGTCACCCCAGTCTCTCTTTTAAAAAAGAACACTGTAAAGCGAGCACACCCTTCAGCTCCGATATAGCTCATATTATTTTTGTAACGCAAGATTAACAGTATACGCTTTAAATATAATTGGGGAGTCTCTTGGGGTATCTTTTCAAGCTGTGGGTTAAAAAAGAGCTCAAAACAGTGACCTTGTTGTTGCCTTATCTGTTTCAAATTGTATCATATTATTACGGTTATCAAAACTATATCTTCCTATGAAATAAAAAAGGGTTTGAGTATTTAATTTGTTCTCCGAGAATCCTTTTGGTGATATATATAAGAAGCCTTCGATGCAATTAAAACCCACATTATGACATTCATT